AATTAGCTGCCATCACACGACCTCACCATCTCCAGAAACCTTGAGCTGCTTTGTAACCGCATTAAAGAAGGCATCGTCGACGAGTCTGCCTTGGCAACTGGATTCAGCAAGGGAAGGCGAAGCAACCCTCGGTCACTGCAGAAACTTTAAGTGTTCGCCAGGAAAAATGCAGCGTCATTGCATGATCCTAACATACGGAGGAAAGAGAGTATCGCTTTCTCGTGAAAGCGGCCAACCGGAGCTGCTGTAAGAGAAAGACAACGATGGCTAGAGCTCGAAATGCTGGAACTGAAGAATGTGGCGAGGATTGGATTGTGCTCTACAGCCAGGTAAATACAGTCGCCAAAGGAGGCAAACAAAAGCAAGCCACTGGTTTGTCAAAGAAAGTTTAATGAGTCTCTGTAAAACCGTGACTATCGTCGGAAACGTTGGGCGGAGCACTTCGCAGAGCTGCTTAATAGACCTGGTCCTGCGGTGGATCTTGAAACAGAAGAGGAGAGTAGACAAGTTCTGAATGTGAACTATGCCCCACTATCTATGAAAAAAATCGGAGAAGGGATGCGTCTCTTTCGAAGCTCGAAATCCTGCGCACACGACAGGATTGGTGCGGTAGCGAAAACCTTCTCAATTGGGTCCACCTGGTTTAGCAACATTTTAATAGAGATTGGTGATGCTCAAACACTGGAGAAAAGGCGGGTCATCCCAATTTTCAAATCTGGAGTAGCACCGATAGAACAAATTATCGAGGAATTACACCCTTCTGTCTGTGCTGGAGAAAGTGCTTGTGCGGATTATCCTTGAAAGGTTAAAAAAACTCCCATAGATGATTCGCTGCGAACAAATCGAACAGGATTCCAGGACACTCATGCATGGTCAACACCTTCCCGCTGAAAAAGAATAGTTCGAGCAGTTCAACAGCTTTCAACTGCAGCCCTCGACTTAGTTCATCGCCGGACAATCTGGTATGTCATTCGACACTATGGAATCCGACAGGTGATGGTAGACCTGACTGAAGATCTGCATCTGGCATGAAATATGCCGTTCGAACTGAATCATCATATACAACAACCCTGACCTGCGAGAGGAGAAGTACAGGCGGATTTTCGTCGGAAGAACAACTTGTTTCTCAGTCTAAAAATTCAACAGGTATCCGCGAGGCTAGGGCGATCCTCCTCCTATTCATTTCTGATAATAATTGTGAAACTCTGGCGATGCAATGCCATCCGTGGGGGATGATACAGCGGGGATAATTAAATCGGTCAACTTCCTGAACGGCTTCACCTACCTTTGTCTCTTGTAGGTCAGGTGTGACAGATAAGTTCCTCATATTTTTGGATTTCTGGACGTTAAGAATGAAGTTGACTTTCTCAGCTGTGCTGCATACAATAGGTGACAGATCCTGCTTCCCATACTATTCACCAGGACAATATCATCTGCGTACTCCTGGTCAGCAAGGTATTTAGCCAGATGCTTACATTGCTCTTTCCCTCTAGAATGAAACCTATGTTTCATCAAGCAAGCTAGTTCCTTGCAAATCCTTGCAAACCAGGACAACTGGAATCGTTTGCATTGCTTAGTTGGTGAAAATCCGTCGGGGCAAGAGTACCCCTCCCAGAAGTATGCACGATTTTTGCGAAGTCTTCTGTGAACTGCATTCTTCAGCGTTTCTAGCATCATTCATCAGAAGAGTTACCCCGGAGTTGGCAGCAGTGTAATTCGATGATACTTGGAACGCTCGGTCACCCGATTTTCTTTAAATCTAGGGACAATTACTCCGCACTTCAATTCTCCTTATAAGTATTTCTAAGTGCACATTTGATGAAGCAGAGTATGGTACTTTTCTACCATTTTTATGCCTCCATGCTTAATTAAATTCGGAGAAGTTACATCGTCCTGCAGGCCTCCTTCACCTTGAGATGTAGCAAGGCTTCATGAATTTCTAGTTTTGTGGGTGGATCTCTATTAGCCTACGTTGCTTGCAGATAATTAACGGTTGTAAGTGACGAATTTGGATGGCAGCCATTGAGCAGCTGTTGGAAATGCTTTTGAAGCGTTCCTTCTGCCCTATCAATGGCACACCCTTAGCGTCGGGAATTAGGACAAACCGAGTCACTTGTTTACCGCAGAACTGTCACACTCCTTTGAACATTGTTCGCCAATCCCCTTTTCCGTTGCTTCGATGATCCTCCTGATTTTCCTTTCCAGCCAATGTTCTCTGTACTGCCTGTAGCTCT